GGTTTGACTACACCATAGAATACTACCCTGGAGCTGTGAACAAAGTAGCCGATGCTCTATCTCGAAAATCAGAGAATGAGCCATCAGAGAATACCAAGGATGCTTGCACAATGGTACTCACCATGGTAACGCACAACCTGATTGAGAAAATTAAAACAGAGGTTCAAAATATGGCAGAATTGATTGAGTTGAAAGAGAAGATTGAAAAAGGAATGGAAAGGTATGAACATTACAGCTTACGAGACGGGTTTATCCTCTTCAAGGGGAGGATCACCATAGCTTCTAATTCGGAGCTCCACACTGTTATTTTACACGAGTTCCACTCATCATTAATTGGAGGCCACAGAGGAGTGAAGAAAACGTTGCAGAGAGTGCTTCCTATATGTTACTGGCCCAACCTGAAAAGAGATGTCCAAGAGTTTGTGAGGACCTGTCCAATTTGTCAAGCGACAAAGTATCAACCACAATCACCTGCGGGGCTACTTCAACCCCTGTCAATACCTCTTGCTATCTGGGAAGATTTATCCATGGATTTTATCATCGGATTTCCCAACTCAGAAGGGAAAACAACCATCTTGGTGGTGGTGGATCGCCTCTCCAAATACGCCCATTTCATCGCTCTGCCTCCAAACTTCACGGCTATGAAGGTTGCCTCAGTAATTGTGGAGAACATTTGTCGCTTGCATGGAATTCCTCGCTCGATTGTATCAGACAGGGACAACATTTTTGTTAGCAAATTTTGGGCTGAACTGGCGTGTTTGAGTGGCATAAAACTCTGCTACAGCACCGCTAACCATCCTGAAACAGACGAACAGACATAAGTTACAAACAGGGGGCCTAGAACAATATTTGCGTTGCTACACCATGGAATCCCCAAAACAGTGGATGCATTACATACCGTGGGCGGAATTTTCTTACAATTCAGCATACCACTCCTCGATTGGGACTTCTCATTTCCATATTGTATACGGAAGAGCTCATCCTAGCATTCCATCGTATGAAGGTACGACATCCCATATTGAAGCTATTGATGTGTTGTTGACTCGTCGGGATGCCATGATAAGGCAGCTTAGAGAGACCCTGCACAGAACCAGACAAAGGATGAAGGTCCAAACAGACAAGAGAAGAAGGGATGTACAATTTGAGGTGGGCACCCAAGTACTGGTAAAGCTTCAGCCATACCAACAACGTTCCGTCGCAACCACACTTTTTCCAAACTCCAGCGCCGCTTCTATGGCCCTTTTTCCATCACTGAGCGTGTGGGTCCGGTAGCATACCGATTGGATCTTCCTAGGGAGTCAAGGATTCACCAGGTGTTTCATATGTCACTCCTTAAGCAATATCGTCAAAATCCAGCATTTCACTCGGCTCCTCTACCACATGCAAGCTGGGAAAATCATCCGGTCACTAAATCGATGGCTGTACTTCGAACCTGTGTATTGCAACATGGAAAAAAGGAAATTTTACAACTTTTAGTGCAGTGGGAAGGTTTACCGTTGGAGGACGCAACGTGGGTTACATACTCAGAGTTCGACCAAGTCTTTCCAAGTTTCGATCTTGAGGACAAGATCACGTCTTCAAGGGAGGAGGAAAATGATAAGCACCCATCCACAGAGCTCATAGTTATGGAGGATCAGCCGAACCAAGGAAGACAGCTTGAAGGGGATAAGGGCGAACGTGGCTTACAATGGAAGGAGAAGAGGGAGAAGAAGACACCTCAGTGGCTTAAGGACTTTGTGATGTTGACAAGTGGTTGAGCAATAATCAGATGACAAGGGTTATTGGGCTGAGGAATGGCCCATTAGATAATAGTCAGCATTTCTTGGTTTATAATAAAAGGGCTTAGGATGTTGTTAGTCCCAATCGTATAAATTCCTTTGAATTGATATTCTGTTGCTATATAGTATGGTAGGGACCACAAGGAGGGGTTTAGCCAAATTTGTTGTAACAAACTTCTTCTTCTCTCTTGCTAAAACCTCCTGGAGTTGCCGGCAACCTCGAATCTGCCATTGATAATATCAAATTCACTACATTTTTCTTCAGTGACTTTTGTCTAGATAGTTAATCCTATCATAACGTCATATATATCTATCTGTTTAATGAGAAGGGACAAAGATAAAAATAATGTATTTTGGGAAATAAATTATTCAAATGTTATATTTTAGAAATTTTTTGTAAAAATGTCATGTTTTAAGATTTGTTGTTCGTCTCAAAGGATCCAATTTGTCACATGTTGTCTGGACAAGAATTTATTGTCAGAAATAATAAGTTTAGGATCTATTATTATTTATTGTAGATCCCTGTCTAGGAGACATGTGGAAAATTAATAGTGTCTTTTCATACAATTTGATTATTTTGTTACGTGTAGCCTGAATAAAAATTTGTTGTAAAAAACAGCAGCAGATCATGGATGTGTTGTTTCTGACAACAGATCCTTATCCAGATAACATGTGACAAAGAAAGTATATTGAGACTAATAATGAAAGGAAAAATATTTATCATTTTTTTTTTGATAACAATATTTATCATTTTAAAATATATAATTTTGTGTCATTTTAGATGAAATGATATTATTTTATTGCATAATTAATAATTTTTTATGTTCTCTCTCTTCGATAAAATTAGGAAAAGAGAGAAAGTAGAGGAGAGAATATAAAAAATCACCAATTATGCAACAAAACAATATCATTTTATTTAAAATGATACAAAATTATATCCTTTTAAAACAAACATTTTTTTCAATAACAAATCTAACAACGTGACATTTTAATATATATTTTTTTTAAAAATATGATATTTGAGTAATTTATTTTAAAAATTAATCATTTTGGCTGGTGTCCCCACAAAACAAAATTCAATTCAGAAACCCAATGCGACGCAGTGTACTAATTGGTGCCATTTGGATTTGTAAAATACAGTGGAGACCAGACCCCGTTTGCCCGACAGATTGCCAACAATCACTTCAAACCCATATCATATTTTCTGGCTTTTTTAGATCCCAACCTCTGACCTGAAATCAAACACCCCGGAAAATTTTTTGGAATAGTAGAGAAATGAGATAGATAGAGAAATGATTGAAAAGATAGATAAAATGAGATAGGTAGAAAAATGTAAAAAAAAGTTGTTTGGTGGGGAAAAACTTTACTGAGAAAATTAAGTAACTTTATGAAATCAACAGTGCATTAAAAGCCAGATAACCGGTTTTCCAAAAAATCCCACCTTCAAATTGGGTTTCTAAACAGTGCGGATATCTATATTTATCATAAATCCAGACAAATTGGATATATGGGTTTTTGGTGAAAAACGTTGAAACAAATATGGTATTTCTAAAAACCATACTTGAGAAAAATAGATATCCGTTGAAAAGCTCCCAAACAAACACCACCTTAAAATTAGGTACCATCAATATGAGATAATATTTCTTTAGTTTTAAACTAATTGTTATTTTAATTTTATTTTATTTTTAACTGTTTCACCTGTGAAGCCGTGACCTTGCTTTCACCTGATGCAACGCTTTTCTTTGTTTGTCAATTCATTGCACCAGAGAATAGTCACGGCGGGATTTCTTTTTCTATGTATAAGTCACGATTTGTTAGTTTTTTTTTAAAAAAAAACTCATGCTAATATCAGTAATTTTGAAAAATTATATGTATAAGTCATTATTAGTGTCCATAATTTCGTTCAAAAATATAAAAATAAAAATAAAAATCATGCTACAATTCATGGATGAGACATGCGAGATTTTGCACAAATTATCATTTTAAAAACTAAACTCAATTTTTTTTCCAAATTTATATGAAAAAAAAAACAAAATGAAGTTGCGCCTCAGGTAAAAGAACTTTCTCTCTTTCATCTCTGATTTCCTTTTTTGTTTTCACAATAGCTGAGAAAATCTTTTTTTTTTCTCTCCTGGAAACTGGCTCGATCGTATTATATTATTATTATTATTATTAAAACTCTCTTAAATCTACTCCGAGTGATTAAAATTAATGACGTGGCTATTGCACCGATGAAAGATTGAAATTTCAAGATCAAAGTTACTTTTATTCATTTATTTATCAAATTTAGTTATTTGACAAATTACCTTTTTAATAAAATTAAAGACCGATGACCCAATCGATCAAAACCAACTTAATTTAGGTGGGGAAAAAAATTACAAAATCAAACTAATTTAATCCAAACGAAATCAATTTTTTATTTTTTTTCTTCTTTTAAATCCGAACTAAACTGACATGTAAACACCCATAACGGTGATAACTAAATTCATCTTATCCAGATTCATCCATTTGCTAACAGCCTAGGTACCTAATATTGTTAAAATGGAGTTTTTAAGTAGAAACTAAATGAAAAGGTAAGAACGTAAATAGTAGAAATGACAAGAAACATAAAATTTCTATCAATTAATATATACAAAATATATATATATATATATATATATATATATATATATATATATATATGTGTGTGTGTGTGTGTGTGTGTAAAAAATATATTATATAAGTCACTACTCAAAATTCAATTTGAACAACTTTATATTTAAAAGATATAAGTCACGTAACTATATAAAATATAAGTCTAAAAACACAAAAAAATTTAACAACTCTTATAATCAAGTTCCAAAATATCAAAAGAATAAAATTTAACTACTCCAAAATAGAAATACAACGATCTCATGCGAGGGTTTTTTGTTTTCCAAATAGCTAAAAGAAGACATTGTGCATTTGATTAGGGGAAAATGAAAATAAGTTTATATTTTATTTTTATTTTTAAAAATAAAAATAAAATTGGGTTATGAGTTAAAAGTTGACCCGATAGCTATCAAAGTAACAACATATTTTCGAGAAAGTCTTGAATAAGGATAGTAACTTTATGGAAACAAATTGAGGAAAAAGATTACGAGACCTATCATTATCAGTCTCGCTAATTACTAATGAAATGGCAGACATTATCACAAATCAATGATGATGCATCCACACACACCAAACACACAATATGCCTTTGGTCAATTTTTAGAGAACAAGTGACGTGGAGACACGCAGGCAGAGGGTGAAAGCACAATGAACAAATGCAAATCACCAAATGGAGTCCAAATCTAGGTTGATGTTACAATAATAGTTTACCATGACACACATGTATCAATATTTCTACACTTAAAAAAAAAACACAACAATGCCAACCTTGACAAAAGTTTTTTTTTTTTTTGGGTACAAATTAATCTTGATAAAAGATTCAGTCTTTCTAGAATTAAATAGAGTTAAAACTGTCCTTCAACTTCTCAGTTCTCAATAATATCTCAGATGCTACACCATATTAAGCAAATATGCTCAGAGGACCTGTTTTATTTGATGCATCCAATCCATGTTCACCATTCCGAGTTCCTGTAATCCAGGCCCTGCAAAACAGATTTGGAGGAAAGGTTACACACAATAATGAAGAAACAAAATGTTGTGATTCTATGCAAAAATGTGACTACTTTTACTTTATGTCAGATATTTTATTAGTATTTCCTTCTTAATAATTTCACCAAAAAATTTCTTACTTCCCCCTTCTGCTTGGTCATCTAAACTTTGCGATCCTTTTCCAAGAAAACATATCAACATGTGGTCATTAACACAGATGAAGATAAATATGTAACAAGACTCAGCTCATTTTTCTATCTTACCTTCTAATATTTTTGCTGCCTGAATCTGTCAGAATTGTCAATCTTTTTGCTGTCTTCATGAATTCACTGCAATGAGATCACAGAGAAACAAAAACTCAGTAAATATAGGACTCGTTTAGAAAATATGAATATGCCAGATTTAAGGACCTAATTGAAAATAAAATGATAAAAATGGCACCAAGATGGAAAAGGAAGAAAAAACAAAAACCTTACCTGAAGGGTTCTTCTCCAGTTTGCTTAACAGCACCTGTTGCATCACGGTAGAGAACATGATTCAAAATCTCAGATCTTTCTATGCCAAACATGTTGGCAAGTCTCCTATACAACTCTTCATAAGAATCAAGATTTGATAGGTCTAAGGTACGCCCTACATCTTCTGACTCCAAGAAAACCTTGCAATGACCAGTATCCAAGCCAAGTTGCCAAGAAAACTCAGCAGAAGAAGCTTTTTCTGGTGAGTCACCAAAAAAGCACTTTTCTTTGACTTTATTCTCATCTAGTGAGTTTTTTCCGGTATAGTTATGAGACAACACATCTCTAGAACAGCCTCTAGAAATTTGTTGCTCAGTGAGTATTGGTTGTCCAAAAAGCAAAAACTGGTGTTTCTTTACATCATCAGATTTCTCCAAACTATTATTAGATTTTCCCATGGTCAGCAAGCACGATAAACTTTCTTTGCTCTTATCGTGGTTGGTCGTGTTGTGACCATCCGAAATCCCACTATGCACATCAAGCTGCTGGATATTGGTTGGAAGCAACCCCAACTGAAGTTTATTGTTAAAGTGGAGATCTGATAGAGATATTCCAATTTGAGCATGCCTGGCTCCCTGTATGCCTGCAGGAGCATTATCAGATAAACCACACAAGGGGTTGTAAGGCCCAAGCTGGTTGCCTGAAAATGTTGGTAATGGAAATTGAACATCAAGGGGGAAATCTGGGTATTGCGGAAACCGCAGCTTCTTCCTTGGTGGAGAGAAGGATGTTAAATGGGTGACTGGCATGTTTGATACCAATTCAACCAACCATGGGCTAACACGCTTCACATTTTGTAGTAAATCCGGCTCATCCCAAGTAACCTGTAGGGATAATAAAAACAATCAAGATTGCAAGATAAAATTTCCTACAAAACTGAGTTGATTTGAACTATGATGTGAATGTAATCAATGATACTCAAACAAAAAAATCTCCCTAATGAACGTCCTCATAACCACAAGGTTCATGTGTTAGCAACTCAGTTCAAGCACTTATAATTACAGAACCACACTATTCAGAGACCATAAAACTGAGCATTGACAAAGCAAGGAAAGATAAATCTCCAAAGAAACATATGAATTGAGATTCCATTATACCTCATCAACAAACATGTTTGGAACAAGATGTATCAACAAGAGTGTTCAGTTTTGCAGAGTCTTAATAATAGAGAGAGAGAGAGAGGGTGAGAGAGTACCTGAAGTAGCCTCCAGGGGGAATTAGGCCATCGGATAGGATCTACAACCTGAACAGAAGCAACAGTTCCCATGAACCAACTTATCCTGGAAGAGTCCTCGGTTTCAAAGGCCATCTTGAACCTCATCCCAGAGCACCATTGAATTCTCATAGCAGCCCTCACAGCTGAAGCCTTGATGCAAAACTCAGGAGTACTGGCTCTTGGGTAATAAACAACTTCAAATGGTTGGTTGCTAGCAGCAAGTGTCACAGCTTCCACAACAGCTTCAGGCCTCACTCTTGCTCTTCCACTCAAACTAACACCACCACCAACACCAACACCAACACAACGATCCCGCAATAGCTTATTCTCCTCTCTCAAGAAAAAAGAGATTGTCCCATAAGGTCCAATACCACAATTCCCAGGGCCTGAACCTGAAGCTGAGCTCCACCCACATGAGGCGTCAGAACCACCACCACCACCTCCAATTCCCTTCTTTGCTCGTCGAATCCCAACACATAGGTCACCATTCTCAGCCCTCAGAAACACCACAGAATCCCCAGCAACCAGCTTCTTCTGGTTCACGAAAGTGCTCCACCCGGTGGTCAGCAAGTGCCGACGTGGCGTGCCTCTGTATATATGCCTGAACTTCCAAAGCTCGCCGTGAACGTCCTTGGCAACCACCGTCTGAACCGGCGGCTCCGCCGAGTAATCCAGCCGCGGAAAGATGGTCTCGGCGCAGTACCTAGGAACCGAGAACCCCCCACCATTGTTAGCATCCGATTGGGTCAAAGTCTTTGCAAAAGATGCAGGCTTTTCTGAACTCTCCAACGCATCACCAACATCTTCATCGTAACCAAGCTCTGAATTACTCAGAGGAACAAGCCTTAACCTCGCGAACACTTCATCGGTTTCTGGGTCCGCCATGAATTTCACCGCCGCAACCCTGCAAAGGATCAATGGCGGAATCCTCAGATCAACGTTTGTGTGAGCATGCTCCGCGTGCCCTTGTGGAAAGTAGAACACTTTCGAGTTCACCTGAGGCATCTGAACCATGCTCCCTGCACACGCGTGCCATAGTTGAGGATCCAAGCTCTTCTCAACTTCCTTCATTGCTTGCTTCCACCGTATGAATCTTCACACCCCAACTAAGAAAGAGACAAACTTTGAAACACCCTCCTTTAGAAACCAGAGAGATTCACGTTCCTCCTGTGCACATGCACCATTAACACGTTGAGAAGAAGAAGAAGATGGTTCAGAAGAAGTGAAGTGAACAGAAAGCAGTGTTGAGAAATGGATAAAGGGTGACCCTTGTTGAATCTTGCTCCTCTCAAACGTGTTTCTGAATGTTTCCAAGTTGGTTTTCTTCTGGTTTACTCAATCGAAAGGAAAGGTGAACCATTAGAGATTGAGTTTTCATTTCAGAGGCAGAAATCCAAGTCAAAATTGGAATCATCTCTATTCCTAAAGGGTAATAAGCTCCATCACGCAAACACTTCGTTCACCTTTCCAACCTCATTTTTGTTTTCTTCTTATATTTTGGTTTCTTTCAGATCTCAACCAAAGAAAAACAAAAGGGAATAATAACCTCTCTCTCTCTCTCCAACACAGACACTCTCCGGAACGAACCTATGAGCAAAACAAACGACCAAACCAAGTCGTCAGCATGCCAATTTTTTTTTTAATTTTTTAATTTTTAAAAATAAGAATAAGAATGTGATTTTATTTAAGGCTTTTAATTGTGATCGTATGATGTGATCAAGATAGTAATAATTAACGTTGTGTCACGCTGTTATGTCAGAAAACATCGTGAGTTTTCATTGAACTAGGAAAGGGTAAAGCAGAGAAATGGAGAGGTAAAGATTTGAAAAATGTTACAATAATAGGGTAGGCTGATTGACATTATTGAAATTTGAATGGATGATTATTTTATTTAAAAGTAAATATATTTTTTAGTCCCTCGCAATATTCACGAAATTTTTTTTAGTCTCTAGTAATAAAAAAAGGACAAATTAGTTCCTGAAATAACAAAAAAGAGGCCACGTTCATTCTTCTGTTAACTCTTATCTAACGGCCCAACTAACGGTGCACAGTTGGCACGTTAGTTTGCTGACGCAGCTTGGATGTGGGACACCGTGGAAGACGAGACAACGATGTTTTGGTCCCTGTCAAAACCACGAGGGCCATTTTGGTCTCTGTCAAAATGCACTAGGACGTTTTTAGTCCTTGACAAAAAACTCGGGGCCCTTATTGGTCCCTAACCAGAGAAAAATAGGCACATGACTTCATTGCTTTTCTATGCAGTCCAATTTTGCAAAACAAAAGTGCATTACATCAGAAACAGGAGTGCAATCCAATTTTGCAAAACAGGAACATGACATTAAATTGAATTTGTATGCAGTCCAATTTGTTAAACCAGAAGACATGGATGTGCAAGAACTACAACTACGTATATTAGTTAAAAAACATCAAAAATGGTAAACTTAAACATTCATCAACCCTGTGAAACATAATAGCTGGAACATGATTTGAATATCATTATATTTGAAGACATGGATGTACAGTAGTGCATTACAAAATAAAGCCAACTGTCAGGAATTAAAAGAAAGACCTCTAATACAATATAGCCAGAATTTACAAAAAAAATATTGACATAATAAGGCCTCCAAATACATAATGGCCAGAATTTTCAAAAAAAGTCAGTCACATAATAATAAACCCTTCTCAGTTGGCTCATGCACTACTCCAGGTCATATACAACAGCAGGTCATTTTCTTGAGGCAGGCCTTGGTGGCCTAAAACCAGGTGTGCTCATGAAGGCCAATAATCTGCTTCGTGTGCCACTGGTTGCTGCATTCATTGTTTCATTACTCAACAGCTCATTTGCCTATTGTGGATTTGATGGAGGTGGGCTGCTTCCTCTCAAGTTGCCTTCATGTGGCTGAGAACTACCAACTGCTGCAGTCCAGTCAACTGCCATGCATTGCAATTATCAACAATCATTTACCTGGCTTCTTCTCTGATTTTTCTCTGTATTTAAATATCAATCATGCAATTATCTTTTATAGAAAAAATAAATAGTATAATTGTAATGCTACACTACTGAAGACATTGTTCGTAAATCGCTTAACGTTATGTCTTATACAGACTAAGAGAATTAAAGCAGTTCATACTATTCTAGAGATCGTAAAAGCTGCTTGCAAGAGCCAAGAATCCCTTTTAACAAAGTGGGAAGCTTAATTAGCATTTAAAAAGAAATGAGTAATCGTTAATAAGGTCGAAACTTCAGTTAGAAACACAAACTTCATTGAAATAAAATGCGAAGAAGGAGTATTTTACTTTGTGATAAAATTTAGTTTAATTACTTTGTGATGAACAAATGGATTGCACTCATGTTTCTGATGTAATGCACTTCTGTTTTGCAAAATTGGACTGCGTAGAAAAGCAATGAAGTCATGTGCCTATTTTTCTCTGGTTAGGGACCAATAAGGGCCCCGTGCTTTTTGTCAGGGACTAAAAACGTCCTCGTGTATTTTGACAGGGACCAAAATGGCCCTCGTGGTTTTGACAAGGACCAAAACGTCGTCGTCTCGTCTTCCACGGTGTCCCACATCCAAGTCGCGTCAGCAATCTAACGTGCCAACTGTGCACCGTTAGTTGGGCCGTTAGGTGGGAGTTAACGAAAGGATGAACTTGGCCTCTTTTTTGTTATTTCAGGGACCAATTTGTCCTTTTTTATTTCTAGGGACTGAAAAGGGCTTCGTGAATATTGTCAGGGACTAAAATGAGTATTTACTCTTTATTTAATAATATTCTTGTCTTTTATTATTATTATTTATTTATTTATTTATTTTTGTAAAGATGATAGGAAAACTGACTGAATGTATTAGGAAGAGTTGAAGTTATATATTCTTATGTCTTATAATTCTAATAATTGAACTATCTTCAAAGAAAGAAAAAAAAGAAAAAAGGAAGAAAAAATATTTCAATAAATATAAACAGACATTTAGAAAAAGGAAGAAATATTTACTTCTATTCAATGTGTTTGGGATATTTGCCTCTTTTAATCTTAGTCATAAAAAACTGCATCTTATGTACAGTTCAAACTAGATACATCCTATCAGAAGTTCATAACTGTTTTAATAGGCAATTCATAAGTATATGAGTACATGATTTGTCTTGAACTCTTGAACACTAGATATAGATTGTCGATTACATAAGAAAAATTTGTTCCGGATACAAGTAAATCCGGAAGTATTATTTTTTGCATTCACAAAAATGTGAATTTAACGTGCATACTTATCAATTTTTGCAAAGAGAATTTCTTTTCAATCCCTTTTTTTTTTTAATTAACCAAACCCTAATTACCTCTATTGATGCGAGTTGGCTCCTCTAGTATCCCCATAAATTTTTAACTTTTTGAGCCGATTATGAGACTAATCCGGAAAGGAAAATGAGTTAGGGATAAAGATATTTAAATATTTTCCAAAGATGAAAATCAAGTAAAAACCCTTTCCTTTCTACTTATTCAGCTCCCTTGCTAAAGCTACCACTATTTGTTATCTCTCTTCTTTCTTCGTTCTTAACTTGCTGCTTAAACACAAAATTCTTATAATTAGTTTTTCAGTCGTAGATATTGAAAGTAAAATGGCCTTGAAGGCGGCATGTGAGAGGGAAAAACAAAATTTTTCATATGCGGAATTACACATGCAATCAAGAATCATGCTTTATGGCATGTGATACCTTTGTTTGTGAGTTCAAAACTCCAAGACGATCAATGTTAGGTTTGAAGGGTTCAAACCCTCTAACGTTGATCCACACCACCCACGTCAAGATGCAAGAACGCTTTCTTGAAAGCCACCAATTGACCACCATAGAGAGGCTTGCTATGCGCTCAATAGGTGAAGGAGGAGGCTAGATATATGTGTTTAGAAGAATGATGTCTCCAGCATGAAAACTTCACAAGAGTGGAAATAGTATATAGAAGAATTGGCTAGGTTCTTTTGAAAAACCTTAAGGAGGAACTCACCAACTAGGCGCATAAGAGAGGGAGAGAATTAATGTATCAAATCAGAATTTTTACTTTACTTATAATGAAAGTGGCGCACAAGTGAGTGAGACAAAGGTGGAGTTGTTGCAATTCAAAATTCCCAACAACCTCCCCTTTGAATCCTCATAAGACTAGGTCTTTATCTAGTCAAAATTTTGAACCAATGGTCATCATATGACCACCAATTCATGCGCCCCTATTCAGCCCAAAAAGGGTCCAGATACATTTGAGATGTTGCATTCAAGTTTGAACCAACTAGCTCACTGATTCTCTCAAAAACCAAATCTGATTGGAGCTTGTTGGTTTGACAAGATGACAATCATCTCCCACCAAAATGGCGCCCCAAATCAGCCCTTGGAGATCTCCATAGATCTTCTCTTGATACAAGGGATTTGTTCCAACAAGATCTCATCTTATTCTTTTGTTATGAAATAAATTTTCATAACCAATTCAAATTTGAATTCAAACGTTCAAACATTTAAATTCAAATTCAAATTTCAAATTCAAAATTCAAATTTCAAAATTCAAATTCAAAATTCAAATTTCAAAATTCAAATTTCAAATTCAAATTTCAAAATTCAAATTCAAAATTCAAAATTCAAATTTCAAATTCAAAATTCAAATTTCAAATTCAAAATTCAAAATTTAAATATTTGATAATTAATTTAACTAATTAAATTAATTAGTAATGTCTTGGACTATCCAAGCCTATTAACAATACCATGAGCCCGCTCCCTCTTAGGTGAGCTTCCAAACTTCATCTTGGGCTAACAACTATTATTAGGCCCAATACCTTTAATGTTATATCATCATGACATTAAGGTGTTAGTGTGTGACCCATTAGGTCCAACATAGCCACTGATATAAACGGGTTCGGGCCCAACAAGCCCACAACCCATTTAATGACAACACAGAGAACTAGCAATGCTTTGTTGCCCCAGAGCTAGTTAGATTAATGACTTGATCATTCTATTACACATATTTGGTTGCCGTATGTATTTCTTTTTGTCTCGGTTACCTTCCCATAAAACCTAGGGTAAGGAAGCGTATCAACCCTTGCGGTTTAGGGTAAGCTTTATTCGAAATAGGGAATCTTCAATTTACTGACTCTAAAGGCAGATCATCTCATGATCTCTTTTACTATGCATAGATTCCCGAGTCCCTGTAAATGTCATCCCGATTTCTCCGGTTTACTGATAACCTAATCTCTCACAGAGATTTCACGAATTCCTTCAGCTTATCACCCTAGCCCTATGCTCTTTCAGGACAAGCCCAACAGTATACCTATGAGTCTCCATGTTTCAGGCAGACGAGGTATACAGTCAAAGCATGCCTTCTAGAACACAGTCTAGGTAATAACTTCTGGTCTAAGGAAAGACATACCCAGATATAAAGAGACTACTCTAATGATACTCTCTGTGAGATTTCCTCATAGAGTCTCTTTTGTAGGTCTGTTCAGTGCGAGTTATACCCTTATAGATCCACCCACGACTTTAGCTAAGACATCTCC